GAACTGCTGCTGTCTGTGCAACAGCTCCCCGCTTCATAGTCTCAGAAATAAGGGGCTTGTCCCAAAAAGCCATGAGGTTCAAAGAAATGATTTTCTTTAGCTTCTTCATAGTCAGGCCCAAATAGTCTAAGACAGAGTGACACAACTGGCAACCTGCAGACTGAATCTTGCTCACTGGTCAACTCTAGGTGGACAAATACCTTGTTTCTGCCCCAACAGCTATATGATGTCCTTTGCTCTGCTTGCAGAGAATCAGGAGTTTATATCCACAAGTCATTTGAGCTCTATACCTCTCCCATCCTTCATGAAAGGGGTATCACTGAAGATGTGAGATAGCCTTTTTCCATGACCCTGAAGTGAAAAAAAAACAATTTTTACTGAGTCATGGTGCTAATTAAATCCAATTTCTGTCCTGAAGCCCTGGGAAGTTGCTGCTACAATCTGACAGCAGAAGTAGACACTTTGGAGTGATGGTCATCACTGTTTCATGCTCTTGGCTTGACACCTTGGCATAGGAGAAGAAGGGCATCAATGACGCACAAATAATTCAGTACTTCTGCAGCTATGCTGTGTCTTTATTGTGCAAGCAAATCACAGTCAGAAATTGGGAGTTATCCATCAGGAGCAGGAGTGTGGACTGGAAAACAAAATCAAGCATTTATCCCCTCGCCAGTGAAACTACGTAGAAAATGTGTAAGAGGATGACAAACATTTATCATGTGGCTAATGAGGTCCAGAAAATTCTTGCTCAGTTCTTCAGAAGGATAAAAAAAGCTTTCAAATAATGCTATTGTCAGCTTCATAGTTGACATTACATTTAAACAAGAAAGCAATTTATAAGCTGCAATGTGCTAAATAGTTAGATGCAAGCCAATAACTTGGCAAAAGCTACTACAGTTTTTGCTCAAAAAGTGAACAAGAATTGAGTCAGCATAGATTTGTCAGGGTTGCCAGACTCTAGCAGAGAGCAATCTAGCAGTGAAGGAAATGCCTACATTTTTTTTTAACTGTATGTAGAGGGGCATTTTTAAGCCACCTTCAAGACTGGACACCTTGACTGATCTGCAAATTCAGACAGATGTGACATGCTCAAGGGCACCCTAGCCATTCTGGATCAAGCAGGCAGCCAGGATGATGGTCAGCTTGTTCAGGCACACTGTGCTCCTCTGCCTCCCATCCTGATGCCTCTGTGGACAGCAAGGCTAATCAGATCAGGGAGTGCTCCTAGGGTTTCTCTGAAGAAGGGATTTGGAGGACAGTGAAGTCCATAATGCACAGACATAAAATAGAAATTGTTTCCATTGAGGATAATGGAAGTCTTATATTTTCTACCTCATCTTGGCAAATCATAAGCTTTTAATTATGAGACTGACCAGCTTTTATCAGGAAAATACTGGATCTCAGTTGGAGGTCTCTTGAAACTTCTTGCTTCAAGTTTTACTTGTAACAGAAGTAAAAATAGTAAGTCAATAGGTATATCTCCACTGGCTTCAATGAGTACTGGGTTAGGTCCATGTCAGTATGGATGCCTAGATCTGCTCTCTTCAGGCATTAACAGTTACTTCTGTTGAAATGAATCAGCTACATCATCACTATAAAAATATGCAACTTGCTTCACATATTCCTATAAAAAAATTAATCAGTAGTGTCACAGGAAATTCCCTTAGGGAAGAAAATGGGAAAGAGACAGTAAATCATAGTAATACTGCTGTGTTTTTCTTTGATATTATACAGCTAGCTCACATCAGAGCTACAAGTAAATGTGGGAGGAAGTAAGGTCAAAAGAAAAGTTTCAAGAAGAATTTATGACTTCCAAATGCAGAGCTTGGCTGCAACTCCTTCTCTCTCAGCTTTTATGCTAAATTTACATACCTGGTAAGTTATCCAAAAAAAATCAGAATGTGCCCTTCCTGATGCTCACAGAGTCTCCGAGGAACATTGGATTTCATGGAGACCCTTGTAATTGGGGTGATAGCAGAAGGATTTGAATACTGTGCAAGGACAGAGAGGGAAGGACTGGGGTAAAATGTGAAGCAGGAAAATCTGATCACCATGACAAATAAGAACTGAGCTCAGGAGTTTCTGAATAGGGTTTGCAAGAGCTGTAACAGAGTTTCCTATGTTTTGGGAACAAGATAATGAGTTCAGGGAGTCAGTGCTGGCCCAGTCCCAACAGAGGCTGATATACTTCTGACATGCACACAAAGCTCTTTCTCACAATACAGTAGCTTGTCTCTTTGGATTGCCTAACCTCATCCTTGGGGAAAGCTGGTTAGGAAAACTCAGCTGCCCTCCAGAACTGTTACCTGTGATTCAGCAAGTGGCTCAGTAGTAAGTCAATTCAAGGAAGGCAAAATACTTTAAGTGAGGCTTTTCTAGGTGAACAGTGATCATCTGAATCTGGTAACTCCCTATCTCAGCCCCATGGTACTAATTTGCACATGGCATAAAACCTAAGAGTGATCAGCATGACAAGAGTGATGCAAGATACCACAGACACCTCTTCCCAGCTCAGGAAAGTTGTGACACATCTGCATATGTGTCAGTATTTGATGCAAGATACCACAGACACCTCTTCCCGGCTCAGGAAAGTTGTGAGATGGCAATCATCTGCATATGTGTCAGTATTTTGCATCCAGGGGTTGTTTCCATTGAAAGGGCATCTAAAAGAGATTAAAATGAATTGTCATCATTATGGCTTTGATTTCTGCAAATTGCTTACTAATTAGAGCTTCAATTTCCCAGTAATACAAATTTAAATAACTCAACAATTGGTGCTTGAAGTTTAAAGTGCATTCAATTGCATTTCCAACTGCCAAGAGCAAAAGATAGCATAGCTCCAGGCTGCCTCAGCAAAGCTTTAAGCAAGAGGGATGAACACTGAAAAAACAGTAGCAGCATAAAACAAGGGATATCGTCTCCTTGCTGGTGACCAGCCACATTTGTAAGGGTTGAAACCAGGCTGTGGCAGTGCTGAGTTCCCTTCTCCAAGATCATAAAGGTGATAGGAAGGGCGCTAGAAAGTGTTACTTACAGTGGTGTATTACTGGGACAAGGTAAGCTGAGAAATGGAGACGCCTGTCCCTTGGTTCAGCTCTGCCCTCTGGTGGTATTCTGAACAGTAACTACATAGGAGCAAAGGGACAAGATCTTACGGAACATCTTCCCTGATGGCATGAACCCCAGCACTCTCACAAGAAGAGCCTGCAAGTGACTTGTGACCTTTCCAAACTCACCATCTTCTCAGCTTGGCCAGATGGTAAAGGTATCAAGCGAGAGAAAAGCTATAGCAGAAAGCAAGTCCTTTTAGACATGTCAAGTGCTTTATTTGATGCATTCAGTTCTTCGGGCTCTTAGTCACATATTCTGCAAATATTGTTGCATTTTTTAAAACAAATATTAATCTCAAATCATATGGATTCAAAATGTAAAAACTAGCTCTGAGGTATCATACCAAAATGCCTGGGACATGTCATTGAAGTCCCTTTTTGCAGTTAGCAGTATCCAGTTTCAGTATGTATGTTGCAATTTAACAATATCTTCTACCTATATTATGTTCCCTAATTAATTCAAGGCCAAAATACACTTTGCTGGGTCAAGCATGAATTACCTCATACCTGGTATTATCACAATTAATTTTCCTTTTGACAAATAGTAGAGATCCTAATTAACTAAATCTCTTGGTGCCTGGTTTCCTTCTCCTGGCATTACCAGAAGTTAAATATCATTAACAAGTCAAACTTTATTAAAGTCAACTGTTGGCAATGGCCCAGGAAACAGGACTGCATTGAGGCAACATAGTCTAGAAGGAACTAGTATTTATGATCTGCTTGGGTAAACAAAGATAAAAATTGTCTGAGGAACTATGTGGTTTTCTATAAAACAATTACAGGTGCTCCAGAAAAAGAATTGCATATCTGACAGAGAGATCTTTAAATGACACTCAGTCATGCTCTTCTACAAGCAATAAGCAAAATCCATCACAAGAACAAAAAAATAACTGAACTATTCAGAAATATTCCATGGAAAGCAAATCTGGTAGATAAAGGGTGGCATGATTTTTTTTTTAGAAACAAGACAACATTTTGAGATAAATATTACTCATAATTGTAGAATTATGAGGCTTTTTTTTCCTCTTTTTAAACACGTTTCCAAGTTTCTGCAATGTTGAACAATAATTAAAGTGGAGAGGTGACATTTAAGATAAAATGAAGTAATAGGCACAGCTTTTAAAAACTCCTCAAACATTACCTCCAAACTATCAACATCTATTTATATACACATAACATAAAATAAAACAGTCTTTTTCTCTATTCCAGAAGGAATTTACACTTCCTAAGAAGTAATTACAGTAACTCAAAGTGCTCAGATGATCTGTTATGCATCATCACATGTCTCCTGTACTCCTGAATGCCCAGGCCCACAATACCACAAACATTCTACCTCACTGCAGTGAATAAATATTTGACTATGTTAGACTGAGTGATATTTATCTATCAGTCTGCGTAGCATATAAGTCATTAGAGACTGGGACTCACCCAGCTGCCTGGCACTTTAGCTGCCTGGCCTAAGCTGGTCGAATGTTCACTCAACAGTCAAAGAAGAGACATAGGCATCTCCTAAAAGGGAATCACTCTTTCCAGATACATACGATCAGGGTAGGAAAAGTGATTGACTCTCCAGAGGAGAGGTCTCTCTACCAGCTAATGACAGATCAACTTACGGACATCTGTAATTAGGAGAAATGCATGGTCTTAGAAGTGTTTCAAGGCAGAATGGACTGATAAACAGCAGCTTTATGTATGATCAGAACTGATTTACCTTGCAGATTCTCTCCACTGGCCCTGAGTCAAGGCATACATGTCAGGCTTTGTTATACTGCAGTTATAATTATTATTCATTATATTGTGGCTATATCTCAGAGTCCCAGGCCTGCATTATAACCTTCCTGTGTTAGACATTATATAGGTACAGGGCAAAAACATTTTTGTTTTCCAGCTATGCTTTTCCCAGCTGCTCAACGACTGAAGAGGTCCTCATCCTCCTTTCTTAACCCAGTGCTACAAAACTCACTGGAAGACGTGGTCCTGCTTTATGAGGTACAGTATATGGGAGTAAACAGTACCTCAAGCCCTAACCAAGACTGGGTTACTGTCTGTGCTGGGGTTATCCATTATCTTTTTCTATGTTATCTTTCGCTATTCCAGCCATAAACCCATTGCTGATGGTTTAGTAGTTCATCAGAAGGGAAAGACTAGGCACGTATATGCCAAACTCACCTCTTCTGGTGCATAAAGAAGAAAGCAACCTGGCATAGTTGAGCAAACTAGAGGAAGCATGAGCTCTAGCTGATCAATATGCAAAGTGAAAAGCAGAGCCAGTTGCTCTCCATAGGAAGTAGCTTCCAGAACAATTATGCATTAATGACATAATACATTTAAATTCTAATCCTTTGGTCCGAGGTTCAGTCCCAAATCAGTTGACCAAATTATCAAAGCCACCAGCATCAGTTACTTCAGAGTAATTCCTAGGGCATGGCAGTTTCAGTTCCATGGCAGGTTCAGGTCCATGCTTCCACACCAGTAGAGACTGCAGGTGTTTACAGATTGCAATGCAGTTTCACATTGTTAGCTAAGGGAAAACAGCCCATCTGAAGAAGGTAACCATGCCACGTCTATCTGTTCCCCATACTAAGGGGTCTGGGATTGGATGTCCAAGCAGGGCATGTCAGCTGAGAAGCCAAATGCCAACAAATGTGCTCTCTTACAGAGAGTCAAACCAGTGTTGCTGTTCCTGGGGGGGAGCAGGGTGGAGGATGGGGTGGGAAATGGCCTTTCCCAGATAAGCTGCTATCCCTGATGGCTCTATTCCCCACACGGCACCAACAGCAGTACCTGCTTGTTCTAGACAACAGAAGAATAGCTACTCTTCCCTCTTCCTCCTTGCCCATAGCCTGTCTGCAATTTCCCCAGATAGGCAGCTCAGAACTGAATGCAACATTTACACAGAGACTTTCTGGTCTAATGCACATTCAGCTAGTGCTATGAGAGGTTTGTCTGCTTTTGACAAAAGTAGTCTTTGCTTTTGACTAAAGCGAAGACCTAAAGACATGTCATGAATTCACATTTAATCTGCCTAGACTGTTTTGAAGAAGATAAATAGCTTTCTGTGTTCTGATTTTGTACCAGTTTCTTTTAGCTGAGCTTGACATTGACAAAAGTCAGAGAATCTCCATCAAAGATGAGGAGCTGGCTTCACTGAGGAAGGCTGCTGAGTTTGACACCATCTGCAATGAGGTTATTCCCAAGAGCATCACAGAGATCCGCAGGCTGAGTAGCAGGCTGTCCACCTACCCAAGGGTCCTCAAGAAAGAAGACTTTGAAAGGACAGTGTTGACCATGGTCTACACAGCCTACAGAGCCGCTCAATCCCAAGGGCATCAGAAGGATACCTGGGCTGAATCTTTTGTCAATCTTTACAAGGCCCTGAAGCATGACTTGATGTTTTCATACAGCAAAGAGGCATCATAGTGGAAGACTTAATACACCGGCAACTCAGCCATCAATTCTGGTTGATAAGAGAAACATGTAATACATCTGCCACTTTATTTTTAAAAAAGTTTTAATAGCCTGCTTAGTGAAAGATTGTTTTCTAGCTCCCCCTCGTGGAATTTGCTTTATAGATACATGTTAAATGGGGAAAATGATAATTATCTTCAGTCGCCAGAACTGATTTTTGCGCTGACTGGGAGCTGACAGGGGGAAGAAGGGAGTCTGTTGTATGCACCATATAGAATATGCCCTTATTTCATCCTGTGAAATTCTTGTTATACACATGCATAAGTATATGATGCTGATATTCACATACCAATATGCATGTGCTGGAGCAGTTTTCCTCGCTGCGAAAAAAAAATGTCCAGTGGTGTCCAGAGACTGTTATAAAGAGATGAAAAGGTCCTCTGCAAAAATAGAGGAGTCATAACTGTCAGCAGACAGAAATCATAGCAAATATATTCATTCCAAATATTCTTGAAAATATGTACTGATTCACTTCATAATCATTTTGTTGAGCCGGTTTTTAATCACAATAACATTTGCAGAAGACAAAGCCTTCATGAACACCAGCAGCAAACAATTCCCTGCTCCCCAGAAGAGTTGTCTGCGTAATAATCCTTTCATATTTGCACATGACTTTCCTTCTGCTTCTATTTCTTAAAAGGAAAATAGTTTTGTCCTCAGTGGAGTCAAAGGCAAGACAAAGGCCCTGTTTAATTTAACAAAAACAACATTTTTCTGGTTCTATCACTTGAACACAGCTCATCTAAGACTGTGCTTCCCCCCGCGTCAAGGGAAGAAAGTAAATTAAATGATACCTGGTGCTGAGTTTTGTAATGTAGTTCATCTTTAACTGCAAATTATACTGCATATATGTGTGTGTGTGTGTGCGTGTGCATGCACACATGACAGTGCATTCATGAATTCTAAATCATTCAGTCAGGGAACAGTCACATTACACTGTTTACTAGAAAAGTCATTCACCAGCCCAATGACAGGAACTGTGAAGATGGGGCAGAAAAGAAGCTACTAATTTATAGAAAATATTGGTTGTAGATTATTATAAATTTTGAAAAGAATCATGGAAGATGAGATCTTAGTGAACAGAAAAAGGAGACATATCTTCTTTGATGGGTGACCAACAATGAAAAAAAAAAACTTCTAAAGCAAATCCACAAAATTTTGTGAATGAGTTATATAAATGCTGTTTCTCATTGGTATTAGAGGTGTTCCTACTTCCATAGCATGCTAAAACTGTTGAATATCTATGTCCTTTTTTCCATCCGCACTATCTATCTCTTTATCTACATAATACATTACAGAGGCAAAATCCCTGAGGCTCTGAGGACCCTAGCCCTAGTTCTGAGCCAAGTTTGTCTCCTTCTTTATGATTTAAGTGAATGGTTAAAGTCTCCTGTGTTCCTGAACAGGGAGACTACCAAAACTGGAACTGGAACAGATGACCTGGCATGCCGCCGCTGCAGCAAAACACAAGTAGTGCAAGAGGTCAGTGCAGTGGCCAGTGAGCATGTGGGCTTGCAGTAGCTCCCAGGGCAGGCTGGCAATGGCATAAACAACTGAACAAAGCTTTCATAAAAGAAGATGAACTGTATGTCTCCTTAGCAATTTCTGCATGAGTATGCATGGGCGTGATGTGTTTGCTTATGAAAGCATATACATGCAGGTGCACATTTGTAGCCAAAGCACTTGGCCGAAGTGCTAGAATCATAGAATCATTATGGTTGAAAAAGACCTTCGAGATAAGTGAGTCCAATCTTTAACCCTTCAATACCATACCTGCTAAACCATGTCCCTAAGCACCTGATCTACATGTTTCTTGAACACTGCCAGAGATGGTCACTCCACCACTTCCCTGGGCAGCCTGTTCCAAAGCTTGACTACTCTTCCCAGGCAGAAATTCTTCCTAACTTGAACCTCCCCTGCTGCAACTTGAGGCCATTTCTTCTTATTATTCTGGAGAAGAGATCGACATCCACCTCACTACAACCTCTTTCAGGTAGTTGTAGAGAGCAATAAGGTCTCCTCTGAGTCTCTTCTTCTCTAGACTTCTCTAGACTAAATAACTCCAGCTCCCTCAGCCACTCCACATAAGGTCTGTGCTCCAGCCCCTTCACCATCTTCGTTGCCCTTCTTTGAAATTCTCCAGCATTTCAATGTCTTTCTTGTAGTGAGGGGCACAAAACTGAACACAGTATTCAAGGTGTGGCCTCACCAGCGCCAAATACAGGGGAACGATCACTTCCCTGGTCTTGATGGCTACACTGTTCCTGCTACAAGCCAGGCTGCGATTGGCATTCTTGGCCACCTGGGCACACTGCTGGCTCATGTTCAGCCAGCTGTTGACCAACACTCCCAGATCCTCTTCTGCTGTGCAGCTCACTTTGCCACAAGCCTGTGGCACTGCATGGCGTTGTTGTGACCGAAGTGCCGGACCTGGCACTTGGCCTTGTTGAACCACATACATTTGGTCCCAGCCCATCAATCCAGCCTGTCCAGATCCTTCTGCAGAGCCTTCCTACCCTCAAGCAGATCTCCTTTTCCTCTCAGGTTGGTGTCACCTGCAAATTTGCTGAGGGTGCACTCCATCCACTCATCCAGATCATTGATAAAGATATTCGAGAGGAACGGCCTCAACATTGACCCCTGGGGAACACCACACGGGACCAGTCGCCAGCTGCCTCCAGCCCCTTCACCATCTTCGTTGCCCTTCTTTGAAATTCTCCAGCATTTCAATGTCTTTCTTGTAGTGAGGGGCACAAAACTGAACACAGTATTCAAGGAGTGGCCTCACCAGCGCCAAATACAGGGGAACGATCACTTCCCTGGTCTTGATGGCTACACTGTTCCTGCTACAAGCCAGGCTGCGATTGGCATTCTTGGCCACCTGGGCACACTGCTGGCTCATGTTCAGCCAGCTGTTGACCAACACTCCCAGATCCTCTTCTGCTGTGCAGCTCACTTTGCCACAAGCCTGTGGCACTGCATGGCGTTGTTGTGACCGAAGTGCCGGACCTGGCACTTGGCCTTGTTGAACCACATACATTTGGTCCCAGCCCATCAATCCAGCCTGTCCAGATCCTTCTGCAGAGCCTTCCTACCCTCAAGCAGATCTCCTTTTCCTCTCAGGTTGGTGTCACCTGCAAATTTGCTGAGGGTGCACTCCATCCACTCATCCAGATCATTGATAAAGATATTCGAGAGGAACGGCCTCAACATTGACCCCTGGGGAACACCACACGGGACCAGTCGCCAGCTGCATTTAACTCCATTCACCACCACTCTCTGGGCCCGGCCCTCCAGCCAGTTCTTCGCCCAGTGAAGAGTCCACCTGTGTAAGCCATGAACTGCCAGCCTATGCAGGAGAAGGCAGTGGCAGACTGTGTCAAAGGCCTTAATGAAGTCTAAGCAGACGACGTCCACAGTCTTTCCCTCATTCACTAGGTGGGTCAGCTGGTCACAGGAGATCAGGCTGGTGAGGCAGGACCTGCCTTTCATGAACCCATGTTGTTTTGACCTGATCCCCCGGTAGTTCAGCTCACTTTGCCACAAGCCTGTGGCACTGCATGGCATTGTTGTGACCGAAGTGCTGGACCTGGCACTTGGCCTTGTTGAACTACAGGCCTGTAGTTCCCTGGATCTTCCATCCAACCCTCCTTGTAGATAGGTATCACATTGGCGAGTCCCCACTTGTCTGGGATCTCACCTGTTGACCAGGACTACTTATAGGTGATGGAGAGTAGCTGCCACAAGCCTGTGGCACTGCATGGCATTGTTGTGACCGAAGTGCTGGACCTGGCACTTGGCCTTGTTGAACTACAGGCCTGTAGTTCCCTGGATCTTCCATCCAACCCTCCTTGTAGATAGGTATCACATTGGCGAGTCCCCACTTGTCTGGGATCTCACCTGTTGACCAGGACTACTTATAGGTGATGGAGAGTAGCTTGGCAAGCACTTCTGTCAGATCCTTCAGAACTCCCGGGGGGATCCCATCTGGCCTGACAGCCTTGTGGGTGTCCAAGTGGAGTAACAAGTCACTGACTGTTTCCTCCTGGATTATGGGGAGTTTATTCTGCACTCTATAGGTGTCACTGTTGTGCTAGCAACAAATTTAAAAACAACATCAACAACAACAAAAAAAAAAAACTAGCACAAAAATAAAAAGTGCTAGCTAACCTTCAAAGCGTGGCTAACATGTGACACAGCAAACTGAAAGCCTCACCCATGAGGCTATGAGTACCAAATACTGCCAACTCCTCTGCTCACACCCACAGCTCACCATCTGTAAAGCAGTGTGGCACTACTGCCTGTGTGTCGTTTGAGCCTTCAGCATAATCACCAATGATCTGTTTCCTCCAATTCCTCCTCTTGTGCTTTCCTCCAAATCACCATTCTCAGGAGGGAAAACACCAGTGAGCAGGTATTCCTTTTTCAGCCTTTGCTTCTTATGGTCCCTAAGCCATCTCTTCCTGGAGGAGCCAATAACCAGAATAATTCATAAATCCCTTTACAGCCAGTGACTCCAAATCTGCAAAGAAAACAGTAGAGAGCACAACAGAACATATCACTACCATTCACTAAGCAGAGCAATCCCTCCCCGGGCACACTCCTCACCCCACAACAGAACTGCCTAGAAATCAGAGTTTCTTGATCACAGCCTTTTGGTAGGAAAAAATGGTCAATGTCAATAGTCCACGATATGTTGAAAATAAAGCCTACTGATAGGTGCAGAATTGGACAGGCATCGACAGGCCTCGATTGTAAGAGCAAGCAACCACTGTGGATGCCCTTTGATGGCTTGCAAGAGCTGAAGGGGTGCGAGAGCAAAAGGCCCCAGGGCCTGTGGTGAGCCAGAGGTGTGGAGGGCTCCATCAGCCCCTGAGAACTCATGACATGTAGTAGGTGTGGAAATGCACAAGCCTCGAGCCATCTAGAGACGGAGAGGGATTGCTATGTAAGAAGAGGGATTGCTATCTTTGGGTGCAGCACCCTAGCAATACGCCAGGAAACAAATACTCCTCATGGCCCATCAGTATGAAAAACGTAGATAGTGTGTGCCGCTTCCCAAGAGCATGCCTGCAGACAATGATCAGATTTATGACCTTTTGCTCTGGGGTTCTTGAAAACCAAAGGACATCAACAGTGAGCACTCACTCTCAAGATTGAGCCCCATCAATGCCCATCCATTCTGTATCTATTAACAAGGAGGGATTGACACACCCTTGTACATGGAGGTGGGCACTCTCTGTACAAGGGAAGGTTGGTCCACCCTTACATGTAAGAGAATCACAGAATCACAGAACGGTTGAAGTTGGAAGGGACCTCTAGAGATCATCTAGTCCAACTGCCCTCTCAAGCAGGGACAACTAGAACACATTGCGCAGGGTCACATCCAGAAAGGTTTTGAAGATCTCCAAAGGGGACTTCACAACCTCTCTGGGCAGCCTGTTCCACTGCTCTGTCACCCTAACAGTTAAGAAGTTCTTTCTCATATGCAGATGAAACTTCCCATGTTTCAGTTTGCACCCACTACCCCTTGTCCTATTACTGGCCATGACCGAGAAGAGTTTGGGTCCATCCTCTTTATAAACTCCCCCTCAAGTATTTATACATGTTAATAAGACATCTCTAGGGATGAGAGGGCATCTCTGCCCTCTCAGTCTTCCCTTCTGTAGGCCAAACAGGCTCATCTCACTTAGTCTTTCCTCATATAATAGAGCCTTATGTCCCTTAATCATCTCCATAGCTGTGTGCTGGACCCTCTCTAGAAGTTTCATGTCCCTCTTGTACTAGGGAACCTAGAACTGCACACAATATTCCAGGCACGGTATCACCAGAGCTCAGGAGAGGGGAAGGATCATCTCCCTCGACTGGCTGGCAACACTCCTCCTAATGCAGGCCAGGATCTCACTGGCCTCCTTTGCCACAAAGGCTCCTAGTTAACATGTTGTCAACCACAACTCCCAGATCCCTCTCTGCAGAGCTGCTTTCCAGCAGGCAAACCACTTATCTGTACTGGTGTCTGGAATTATTCCTCTCCAGGTGCAGGACCCTGCACTTGCCTTTGTTGAACCTCTTGAGGTCAGCCAGGCTCTCCAACCTATCCCAGTCCCTCTGAATGTCGGCAGAGCCTTACAGTGTGTCAGCTATCCCACCTAGCTTTGCATCATCTGCAAACTTGCTGGGGGTGCACTCTGGCCCTCCATCCAATTCATTCGTGAGTAAGTTGAACAGCACCGGACCCAGTACTGACCCCTGGTGGGCACCACTAGCCACAGGTCTCCAACTAGACTTGGCGCCATTTATCACCACCCTCTGGGCTCAGTCATCCAGCTAGTTCTGGATCCAGCCTACTGTCCATTCATCTAAACCACACTTCCTAATCTTCCTGATGAGGATGTTATGGGAGATAGTGTCAAAAGCCTTGCGGAAGTCAAGATAGGCAACATCTCTCCCCTCATCCGTCCAGCCAGTCATCCCATCACAGAAGGCTATTGAGTTGGTCAAACATGCCTTTCCCTTGGTGAATCCATGCTAACTACTCTTGATCACCTTCTTTTCCTTCATATGCCTGGACATGGTCTCTAGGATGAGCTGCTTCATCACTTTACCAAGGATGGAGGTGAGGCTGACTGGCCTGTAGTTTCCTGGGTCCTCTTTCTTTCCCTTTTTGAAGAACGGAGTGACATGGGCTTCCTTCCAGTCCTCTAGCATCTCTCCTGTTCTCCATGGCCTTTTGAAGATGACAGAGAGTGGCTTAGCAATAACACTCGCCAATTCCTTCAGCACCCACGGGTGCATCCTACCAGGGCACATAGACTTGTGGGGGTCTAGTTTGCCTAAATAACCTCTAACCCAATCCTCTTCAGCCAGGGGAAAGTCTTCCTGTCTCCTGATTTTCTCTCTTGTCTCTAGGCTCTGTAGTTCATGGGGACTAGCCTTAGCAGTAAAGACTGAAGGAAAGAAGGCATGTAATAACTCCACCTTCTCTGCATCCTCTGTCACCAAGGCACTCACCCCATTAAACTGTGGGCCCACATTTTCCCTAGTCTTCCTTTTGCTGCTGATGTATTTGTAGAAGCCCTTCTTGTTGTCCCTGACATTTCTTGCTAAATTTAATTCCAAGTGGGCCTTGGCCTTCCTCGGCACATGCTTTCTGCTACAGGAGTCTCAGGCTTCATTTCCCAGGAAGCTGAGGCATTTTACTAAGGAAGACTTACCACCTTTACAAACTAGATCTCTGGTTGCTGCCTCTCTTGGGCCTGAAAAGCAGAGGTGAGGCATATTCCAACCCTTCTCCGCCCACTTCACAGTATTGGTCAGTTCTTTAGAGCAGTCCTACTTGCGCAGACACAGACAGAGGTGGCCAAGCCCCAGGGAAAAGCTGGCAGCAGTGTCAAAGAAAGAGGTGTGCAGACCAGGTGTCCAGTGCTTTGGCCAAAGCAAGTAACCTGCTCTGTCAGAAAGAGTCGGGGTCCAGGCAGAGCGAAAAAGGCAATTTAAAGAGAAGACATTCCAGGCAGAGGGGCAGCTCCCCCTAAAACCTGGGAAATAAGCCAGAAGAGACACAGTTTGGCTGCTTGGCTCACTGCAAGTTTCAGCTCAGCAAGAGAGACCAAACCAATCTGCATCAAAGATCTTCTGGGCAAATAAATGGGGGAAAAGGGCCCACACAGAGACCATGCGTATTCAAGCTGCTTCCTGCTGTATGAAGAGACAGCATGTAGGATCAGTCACCAGACAGAATGTACAGAACCTCTGCTCAGGTACTTCAGCAAGGACATACATACAGGCCCACCTGATGGGGCTACCCTCTTTCCAGGCAGCCTCCTGAACAGGGAGCTGCAGCATCCTCAAGGGAGAACAGCAGCTCTGCTGCTTCCCAGCCAAGAGACGCAGCTGCTGGGAGACCTACCCAGCTGCCTGGATTTTCTCCCTAGCAAAGACAGACAATACCCCTCTGGCTAGCCAATCACTTAGCATTAGGCCCACCCTAACCACAGATTCCACCTGCATAACTGAAAGGATTGAAAGGGTTTCACCTGCAAGGTGCTAACAAGTCTCTTCTCTGAAAAAGCCTTCATTTTTAAGCACCATGATTATTTATTTCTGCACTAAAGAAATTCATTTTATACCTCCTTGTTTATACCTCCTTCCTTATTTTTTCTAAGTACAAGGTGAGAGAAGAATTTAAATCACCCTATATCTTCAAACCTGGAAGCCTAGAGAAGCGTTGCTTTAGCCAAACAGAACTGAAATCAGTGGGAGGGTAGAAAATGACTCAAAACCAAATTGCAAATTGCTTGAAGAAAAGACTGAAAAGGCTAAAAGAGTCTTTTCGAAAGCTTTAATTATGTGATATTCACCAGGACTCTCTTGCTTTAGCCATGCTGTATTTTCTTTCCAGGCAAGGCAGGGGCTGCCCACCAGGTATTGGAGCACTACAGCACTGGACTGTATTTATCTCATTCAGGTAGTGTCCCAGTAAATAAACACAACATGACCCCTTGGCAGAAGGAAAGTACGAGAAACACAGTGCCACGTACACAGTATAGTTGTTGGCAGGCTCCAGCACAGGCAGAGCCCCGCAGCAGCCCTTGGGCCCTGGCGCAGGGGGCAAAGGGAGCCCCCTGTTCCCTCATCCCTCGCAAGGCCCTGCTAGAGTGGCCACTGCTACTGAGCAGAATGTGACTGGGACCCTCCTACTACCTGTGAAACAGGAAAAGTCGATAAAATCCCTGAGCCAAGTGAAGGTATCATATATGAGAGACATTAACTAGTGTTAGGAATCACACAGGTAAAAAGAGCACTAGTTCTTGAGCTGCCAGGAAAGGGGACATAAGAGGATGAGTCCTGGCCACTGCTACTGAGCAGAATATGGCTGGGACCCTCCTACTACCTGTGAAACAGGAAACGTAGATGAAATCCCCGAGCCAAGTGAAGGTATCACATATGAGAGATATTAACTAGTGTTAGAAGTTACACAGGTAAAAAGAGAACTAGTTCTTGAGCTGCCACGAAAGGGGACCTAAGGGGATGAGTCCATGGTGCGTTGTGTCAGGAAAGACACAGATGGGGATGCACAGGGACGGGCCACCCCAGTCACACATGGTCCAAACAGTCCTCACGCACCCTATGGCAAGGCCAGATAGGACAGGAATACTCAGAGCTGGGATGCTCGTGTCCCCATGCAACCCGTCCACAAGGCACCGCAGCAGAATGGGGGCCAGGCCTCTGCAGGGGGACCCAGGGTGCAGGACTGGGTGCAGCCAAGGGTCCGGCTGTCTCTTTAGGGAGCCTGCATGGCGCAACCCGAAATTCCTGAGCACCAGATTTGAGTGGCTGCCCAACTGCATCATTTTCCTCCTCACAGAAAAGAAAACCAGCCCAAGCTCACCTCAGTCATTCAGCAAGGATGCACTGGTTTTCCTTCTAGCTTGCTGCTCTCAAAAGGTGGGACAACATTGTCTCCCTGCCCCGGACTGTGCTGGGGGCCATAAGTCCCAGCTAGCAGACATGGAGCCATCCCATCTCATGGGGAGATCGTGCAGAGCAGCCCAGGAAGCAGCAGGTAGAGCTCCTGAGGGCAGCCTGGAATGACAGTGCTGAGCCCAACGCAAAGCTCCAACATCCCTCCCCTGACACTCATGCAGTGAGTGGCACAGAGCTGCTTTGTCAAGCAGCCCAGCTCCCCAGGGAGGTGTTTGGCTCCCTGGGATATTGTTATGGAAGTGACAAAGAATGGAGTAAGGACGTGTGGTAGAGATGCACATTGCCTGCCCTGCCTGGCTCCAACAGTGGAGTTTTGGGCAATGAGGGAGCTCAGTCAAGAGCAGAGGTGTGAGACCATGCACTCGTGTCCATCAATCAAAGTGTGAATCAACCATTTTTCTCAGAAATGTATAGAGATACCAGCATAGTTTTCCTTATCTTTTACCTTCCTTTTAAAAAAAAAAAACTATAAAAACTTTTACAAAACAAAAGCATGCACTGCATTAAACTTCTATCCCACTAGGCATATTACTGTGGACTTTGTCTTCTAAGTTCACCTGCTTCACCTTCTTGCCTCTCACCTTGGAGGCACCTCCAGTTTCCTGCAGGATATTAATATTCCTCACACTGCAGTATTGGCTGTTCACAGCCTTGGATCCCTTGGGCAGCTCCACTTTGATGGATCACCCTGGTGATCAGGGGATGCTCCTCCACAATGGCTCTGGCAGCCTCCTTCCTCTCCTGCAGTCTTCACCACTTCCTGGCAATGAAGCAAATTCCCAAAAGCACCAGCACCAGCAGCATGATGGCAGCGAACATGCTCCGGAGGGAAGTGCCTGTCTGCAATAAGGAGGCCAAAACAACCACTTCCTACATCTCCAAGAGCAGCAATTTCATGATGGCACCCTTCTTGAGCTGGGCACTTTCACTGTCATAGACCAAGGTGTCATCCAGCATCAACCTCCCATTGCAGTTGACCAAGTCACTGCCATGTTTCCATTGCTAAGTGAGAAATGGCCTTTTTTTTTTTTTAAGGTAAAGTTAAATAGAGTTGGTTGCTGGTTTTTGACCAGCCTTGACTTGTGCAGGTACCAACAAAAATGCTCACAATGCTGCTATAACAATATTTATTGCAGTATTTATCACCCAGGCTGGCATTTACCCTTCCTGACTAGCTTTGGCAGCTGTAATAAATACTTCAGAAATATTAATAAGCTATTTTAAAGAGCTGCTTTTCTGCATGCTTTGAGAAAGTCCTTTTTCAAAAGAGCTAAAAACAGAGAAATTCTCCATCTCCATATTCTGTACAGAAGTGCTTCTGCTTATTATAATTAAATTAACATTTGTCATTTCTAGGCAATGTCATATCACAAAGCTGACATAATTCAAGGAGCATCTGGAGCAACCAACGCAGCGAGGTTAATTTATGGCTACTGAAATCCCTTGCCCTTGCCCTGTAGAGAGCATACACATTGACAGTGAATACGTTGACTCCAGGCACGCTACTCAATGAATGAAACTCAGAAGAATCAAAAGCAAAGTAGGCATCGTGGAAGTACTTATCACTTAGATCCTCTTGGTCACGGAAGGCAGAGGGGCTTCAAGAGCAGGAACGGACACTATCAGCAACATACCATGGGCAGCGTTAGCTACAGAACAACCCAAAGAACACCTAAGGTAGAAGACACCCTTAAAAGATACCCGCTCCCTCCAAGAAACCCTTGTGATGCTCATCCAAATGATACCAAAGTCTAGGTGGTTTATAAAATGCTACATCAATTTTTCAGAAAAATTTAACCCAATTGTAGGCTAAGGTGGTCAGGAATGCACCCCTTTGGCTCTGGGTCCCGTGTTGGCTCCTCGCAAGCCATCAAAGGGCATACACAGAGAGCACTCACTCTCACAATCAAGTCTCATCAATGCCTGCCCAATTCTGCAACTATCGATAGGCCCCAAATCTGCTCCTTCTCTGCAGGGATGCTCTCCTTTGGCTCTGGGGCCCGTGTTGCCCAAGGGAAGCGCCACAGACCATCGACATGGACCATTTTTCAAACTGATGCTCCACAAGGAATATCGTCTGCCCAACGGATCCCGGGGCCAACACACCCAGAGCTATTGGTCCCTCTCCATATGTGGCGATACCTCTCCATCTCTGGATGCCTCAAAGCCTCTGAATTTCCATACATACTTACAGGGATTCACACACTAAGTGCCACAAGTTCTCGTGGACTGATGGGAGCCCTGCACACCTCTGGCTCGCCCAGGGTCTTTCGCTTTCACACCCCTTCTGCTCCTGCAAGCGATCAAAGGGCATCCACAGTGAGCATGCACTCTCACGATCAAGCCCCATCAATGCCTGCGCAATTCGGTACCTATTTATAGGTTTCAATATTGATACTAAACTAGAGGGTATCCAGAGCTCAGAGAAGGTTTGAATTTCCCTCTCACTCCAGGCCAGCAGCAACCCAAGCTCCTGCCACACTCCGCAGCTCTGCCTAGACGCTTTGGCCACCTCCTTCCTCTGCTCACCACAAGAGGTTCATTCCCTCGATGTTGAACTCTGCCAGCCTTGGGAGCAGGTCCCCTTGCAAGGGGGGACCCCCCAAATGCCCCAAGCATGGGCCACCCAGGTCACCACACCAGGCATGTGGGGCAAGGGCTCATCATAGCTGCCACAACCCTCATCTTTCATGCCAATCATGTTACCTCCAGGCACAAATAGCTTCTGCAGTATACCTAGCCCCAGGGAGATGGGCTTTTTTGCTGGGTAGGTCTTAGGGAGCCAATCCTCAAACTTGCTGCTCATCTTGAAGTCAGAAAAAGAAAAAAAAAAACAGGAAAAAATCCAAGGTCTTTTCAGGAAAAGAGTCACCTTAAGATTTTATGATCTTCAGAATTTCTTCAGCAGCCAATTCCTTCAGCAATGGCAGCCCACCAGGCCAAGTCCTTTCACAGAAGCACTATTCTTGTTCTGGCATGGCTCATCCGCAGGCTGCCATCCTCTCAGAAGTGAACCTTTTCAGCATGAAACTGAACACCGTTCAGCGGAACACTGTTCTCCCAGGCCAAAAGCTGTACCCAACCTTCCCCATCCCCCCAGAACACCAGAGGGGCACCAGCTGCCAGTACCTCTCTTTCCATAACTGGGCCCTCAGTAAGGGGCTCACACTCTGGGGAGCTCCCATCTCCACAGGCAAACCGCACATGAGGCACTGGCTTTTCTTCACCATCAGAGTCCTCCATTTCTGAAGCCAAGATGCAGTTGCCCCTCTCTCCATGACTTAGAAACTCCCTTTTACCTCATTCACCTCATTTACCTCATTTACATCATTCACTTCCCTTCACTTCCTTTTACCTCATTCACTTGGACCATTCAGTGTTGCAAGCAGCTAACTTTTGACCGAGGGCCTCCCTTTTTAATGCCTATTTTAAACATAGTATTACTTTGACAAATACTTCTCAGTCATGGCCAGTGAGAGGACAAGCGGTAATGGGTATAAATTAAAACATAGGAAATTTAATCTCCATATAAGGAAGAACTTCTTTACTGTGAGGGTAACAGAGCAGTGGAACAGGCTGCCCAGAGAAGTTGTGGAGTTTCCGTCTCTGGAGATCTTCAAAACCCACCTAGATGCCACCCTGTGCCACGTGCTCTGGGTGTCCCTGTTTGTGCAGCGGGGGGTTAGACTAGATGATCTCTAGAGGTCCCTTCCAACCTCAGCCATTCTGCAATTCTGTGATTCTGTGAAATATGTTTCTCTGCTCTACAGAGCAGCCTGGTCCCTCTTGAGCATTGTGGGAGCACAAGACAAGACCATGGCAGCCCTATCCTACAGTTGCTTTCCTCCTTGCAGTGCTGGGAGTTGGCTGGAACCATTTCCGACCATGCAGGGCCTCCTTCCCTACTGACCACCTCTGTTATGAAAACCCCACGATTTGTGCCCAATACACTGCAGCAGGCAGTTTGCGTGGGGCACTTTTGCACGTATTTGTCATCTGACTACCCCTGAGGTATCTTTTCTAAAAACAGACAGCACCTTGGATTAATGGCCAAGTAGGGCTACTGAAGTCAAAAGTCTCATAAACCAGTCCAGAAAAGTGAAAATCCCTCAAAGTATGCACTTTGCTTCATTTGGGCTCACTGCAGCAAGGAGTACAAGGTCTTCCAGTCACAGTTAACCAAGACCCTTGGGGGAAAGGAAGGCATCTCTGCTTTCGTCTTACCAGGCACCTCAAGGTTGAACCAGAACATGCTATTTAGCAAGGGAAACATCCCACTTGGATAGAAAATTTCCAAACAATGGAGAAATTCTCTCAGCCACTGGCAGGTTTCCTCAGTGACCCATCCTTTCTGTGATTCAAGCTTGGAATCTGCACAGCGCCACATCAAAATCCTGATTTTAGTAGTACTTCTATACTTGTCAGCACCTCCAAAGCTGCAGACCTTGGTAGCTCTTTCTCCTACAAGTTGAGATGTTCACACCCTGCTCCTGTCACTTCCTCACTTCCCTTGGGCATCTTTACAGTGGAGCACATGGGCTTGCCACTAACCACAGCCTCCACAAGGATTTACCTGCTTCCTTCATTTGGAGCATGTTCCAAACATGGCCAGTCTCTGAGGCCACAATTTGTAGTCCTAATTGGTAGCAAATGCAGAGTCAGCAGAACAAACCTGGCAGGCCACTGCAGTTAGCACTCTGGTCTACTGCAAAACCTCACATGCAAGGCAAAATAAATAAATAAATAAAACTTGCTCACACACACCTCCAGCATTTTTTTTTTAAATGAGCATTAGTAGCATTACTCAAGGTCATAGTGTGTAGATTTACCAGGCCAGGTGTCACCCAGCAACACAGACCTTCTCTCCACAAGACCCTACCAGCATACAGCAATCCCAGTCAGGCTTTCAGGAGACATGAATAGCTGAAAGCAGGTCTGCCTGGAAGCTACAAGAGGAAAATCACCCACTAATAAGAAGAAAGTGAAATACAAAACTTGCATCTGATAGAAAGACACATACAAAGATGGAAGGAAGAGAGGGAGGAAGGAAGAAAGGAAGGGGCAGAGAGAAAGAGAGGCAGAGAGAGAGAGAGAGAGAGAGATCAGGGAAGTCATCAGGGAAAGCTCAACCCAAACAGTAAAAGCTAAGCACTGGGTTATGTAAGTGTCTCATGATCCTGCTGCAACACATCACATCCTGTCAAGAAGATCTGATGGCGTTGACACAAAACAGGGGAAACATTAGAGAGGAAAACCAATTATCACGCTGCCCTTGGTTAAATGGAGCAAAAAAAAAAAAAAAAAAAAAAAAAAACATTAAGCCAATAAAAAAGTGGGGATCCGC